TAGGTCAAAGATCAAGAGTTAAATCAGAATACTGCATGACAGAGGCAAGACTTGAACCCAGATTTTCAGATTTCAATTCCATACCTGAGTACCTAACACAAAATTGATAGGTGGTATTTTTAAAATAAAAATATAAAGTAAAATAAGTATTTTGTTAATTAAAAATAAAAGAATGGAGGAAGGAAGGGGGAGTTATCAGCAGTCTGCAAATTTCACCAATATAGGGCAGTCTGCATTCAGATCCTACCTCTATTACTTCCTACCTATGTAATTATGGTCAAAAAATATATGTCTTTCTTAAACCTAAATGTCTCCCTCTATAAGATAGACATGATGATAGTGCCTACCTCACTGAGGTACTGGGAAAAGTGGAGGTTATAAAACTTATCTTTTTAATATAGCACACAGTACACTGTAAGGAGTGAATAAATATAAGTGATACTAATAATTGCTAAGTAATTAATTTTTAAATAAGCCTCTAGACATCTGATAGGTTAAAGGAATATTTAGGACTAAAGATGTTGCAATTTCTAAAGATAATTGTAAAATGCCTCATGACACTCCTGATAGACAATATAGAGTAAAACGGGAAGGATAATACAATTATACACATAACAAACACAATGACTAGCACAAAGCAGCCACTTAATAAAAATTGATTGAATGAATTAGCAATATGTTGAGAAAAATTAATTGAAGTTTTGGCTAATCCATTAGCATCACCCTTGAAGGCAAGCTAGAGTGGAAAGCCTTGTCTTTGACTCTTGACTGAAGACACTAATATCTGTATAAAAAAGCAAAAACCACAATAAACCAATTAAATCTAGCCGACATATACTACAGAACACATTGCCCAAATAAGAGCATACATATTCTGCTCAAGTGTACATGGGACATTTTCCAGAACAGACTATATATTAGGTTACAAATGAAGTCTTAATAGATTTGAAAAGAACAAAGTATCTTCTCTGACCATATGGGATGGTATTATAAATCACCAACAGAAGTAAAATTCATATTAACAAATTTGTGAAAATTAAACAACACACTCTTAAATAACCAGTGGATCAAAGAAAAAAAGCACCAGGGAAATTAGAAAATATTGAGACACGAATGAAAAACTAAAACACATACTAAACTTTATGGGAAGCAGCAAAGAAGTGGTAAGGGGAAAGTTTATAGCTATAAATTATTACTTTAAAAAACAAGATATCATATCAACAAACTAAGTTTATAACTTAAGGAACTAGGGAAAAAAAGAACAAATTAAACCCAAAGCTAGCAGAAGGAAGTAATAAAAATTAAAACATAAATAAAGAAAAGAGAATAGAAAAGCAACAGAGAAAATTAATGAAACCAAAAGTTGGTTCTTTGAAAAGATAAAAAAAAAAAAAAATTGACGAACCTTTAGTTGGATGGACTAAGAATATAAGAGGACTAAAAGCACTAAAATTAAAAATGAAAATGGAGACATTACTACTGATTCTACAGAAATAAAATGATGAGAGAGTCCTCTGAATCATCGTATGCTAAAAAAAGGATAATCTAGATGAAATGAACAAATTCCTAGAAACATAAAACCTACCAAAATTAAATTACCAACAAATAGAAAATGTGAATAGACCAACAACTACTAGGAGGCAGAATCAGTAATGAAGATCTCCCAACAAAGACAAGCCCTGGACCTGATGGCTTCACTGTAAATAATATAAAACATTTAAATAACTAATACTCAATCTTCTAAAACTTGTCTAAATAATTAAAGAGGTGAGAACACTTCCTAATTCATTCTAGGAGGCCAGCATTACCTTAATAACAAAGTCAGATGAAGATACTATTAGAAAAGAGAACTACAATATCCCTTATAAACACTGATGCAAAATTCTTCAATCTGGCAAGGATATGTGCACTGTTGATGAGAATGTAAAGTGCAGATGCTATACCTGGTACATGGATTTAGCAGAGACAATGATAACTGCCTAAGTCACCATCTTCAAACATTTCCTCCCTAAATAATACAGAACGAAACCACAGCCTCAGCATAATTCAAAGACAAAGAGTACCCAAACTTCAAAATAAGTATAAACGAAAACAGAAAACAAGTCCCAGGGCACACTCTCTTGTCCTCTGGCAACCAATTACATATCCATTCACTCCTTGCCCTGGCCCCTCAACTCACCCTCACCTCATCTGAGTCAAGGCTTGGTAAAAGCAGACTGTGAAAAACTGAAGAGAGAAGAGAACCAGTGTCAGGCACAAAGATGAAATATACTAATGACAGCAACACTAAGTAATTCCAACTCAGAAAATACTAGTGACCTGGTAGATCAAAGCATGGGCTACAGTTTAACCTGGCAGACTTAAAATGTCTAAATTTAGAGTGGAGGGGCAGGGGCAAAAAAAAAAAAGAGAAGTACCTTTTGGTCAAAGAGAAAATTTAGAGTGCTGTGGACAAAAGAGAATCAAACAGGCTTTCAAAGACAAATGGATGCAAACAAAATCCTCTTAAGAGGCATTGAAAAAAGATGAAATAACAACCAAGGGAATGGAAATGAGATCAATAAAAAATATCAGAGACAAAATAATGGAAAAGTGAGGTAAAAGGAATAAAATCCAAACTACTGCAGCCCCTGAAGAAGAAAATACAAAATAATGGACTAGAACTAATATTAAAAACTATAATCCAAGCAAATTTTCCAGAAATTTCAAAATACCACAGTCTACACATTAAAAGATTCAACTGGAAACCTGGGAAAATTAATGTAGAATGATCAATATTTAACAACATATCCTAGTATAAAACTATTAGATTTCAAAGGTAAAGAAATTCTCAAAGACTTCAGAGAAAAAAAGATCAAATAAATTAAAACGACATACAAATCAAGGAAATAATGGAGCATTTTTTTAATGCAATGCAGAAAGTGTTAATTTCATATCCAGCCAAGCTGTACTTCAAGTATCAAGGATACTGAAAAACTGTTTTTAATGTACAGTAACTTAGGAAATTCTACACCAATGAGTCTTTTCTTGAGTAGATGAAATTTCAACCAACCAACAGATGACTGAGGAAACTTTAGAGAAAAGACCAAAGTTGAATATTTTAATATAATCAAAGATCCACAATGAAAATGTAGGTAGGAATGATGAGGAGGAAAGACTATTGTACAAATATTTATATGCTGTGAAAAAAAATGCAAATAAAAACTGGAGAAGGTAGAGAAAGAAGAAAGTAGTATCGGCGCATTAATTTTTATATCGTTAATAAGTGGAAATGAAAGAATATCAATAAAAGAAGGACAACTAAAACTGTAAAACTTCTAGAATAAAGCAAAGGAGAAAATCTTTGTAATCTTGGGTTACATAAACATTTATTAAATAAAACATGAAAAGCATAACCTACAAGAGATAAGATTAATGAAATGGACTTCAAATGAGAAACTTTTGCTCTGTGAAACATTGGTAAGAGAATGACAAAACACAACACAAAATATTTCCAAATCACTTATATGGCAAAGGACTTGGATCTTGAATATACAAGAACTCTAAAAACTCAACCAGAAGAAAACAAACAACTCAATAAAGAAAAATGGGCAAAAGATTTGAACATACACTTCACCAAAGAAGATATATGGATAGTAAATAAGCACAAAAACGGATGTTTAACATCTTTAGTCATTAGTAAAATACAAATTAAAACTAAAACCACAATAATAATAACCACTACACACTTATTAAAGCAGAAAAAATCAAAAGAACTTAAAATACCAAACGTTGAGAAGATTGGAGAGCAACTGGAACTCTCATCATTGCTGGTGGGAATACAAAAGGTACAGTCCCTTTGGTAAACAGTTTTAATGTAGAGAGGAGGAAAGACAATTAAAAATGTTAGTCAAGCCACGATCAGAGACTGCAATATGCTGATCAGCTCTGCAGCCAGGCCAGGAGGACACCTTCAGAGCAAAGGAAGATTTCTGCTGGGATTGTTAACAGCCCATTCCCCACACCTGTGAAGGGGAAGCAGGAACCAACAGAGTCATTCCCTATGGCTAAAACCATGGGGAATCTAAGGATTAAAGGCTGGGAACTGCCAGCAGGGCTTTTACTCTACATTTTTACCTGTTCATGGTAAATTCTCTTCCCCTCCCTCACTGTATGTCCATATCAAAGGAAATGGGAAGTAAAGAATGACATATAAACTGAATTCCTTTAACACTCAGGGTCCCTCTCAGTGCCTTTACTCTGTCCTTCTCACTCTCTGCCTCTGAGAGGAGACCACACTCTGTGGAGTGTTATCCCTTTTCTAATAAACTTTCCTTTTGATTCTAACTCTGGTGTGTGTGTTGAATTGTTTCCACCATCTCCGCCAAAGGACCCTCTTCTAATCTCAGTACAGTGCTTGGTCTCCCCTGGCCCACACTCGGGAAAATGTGCCCTGTCCTGCATCAGTGTGATAGTTTCTTAAATATTGATGCTCTTGAACTTACAACGGGGTTAAGTCCCAATAAACTCATCATAAATTGAAACCCTCAAGTAGAAAATGCATTTAATATTCCTAACCTACTGAACATCATAGCTTAGCCTAGCCTACCTTAAATGTGCTTGGTACACTTACATTAGCCCACAATTGGCCAAAATCATCTCACTGCTACTGCTCAGCATCACCAGAGTATCACAGGGTATATTGCTTAGCTCAGGAAATTATCAAAATTCAAAATCCGAAGTATGGGTTCTACTGAATGCATATAGCTTTCACACCACTATAAAGTCAAAGAATCATAAACTGAACTGTAGTAAATCCAGGACCATCTGTAATTAAACATTCACTTATCTAATGACCCAGCCATCATACTCCTAGATATTACCACAGAGAAATGTGATGCCATGTTCACATAAAATCTATACTTAAATGTTTACAGCAGCTTTATCTATAATCTGTCATTTCTTTTGTTTTTTCAAATATTACCTTCTTAAACCAAATCAAGTTTTAACTATATTTTTACCTGAAGGATGCTGTTCCATTCTCTTTTATTTTATTTTTCTGAATAGAAGATCCTTGAAGTGACAGAATTTTATTTCCTGGAAGGGTAATTTGCTTTAGAATGGAAGCTATAAAAACAAAAGAAAGAGAAAAGCGGGATTAAAAAAAAAAAATCATGCCACATTAGGAAAATTTCAGGATAACAGCTTTTAATACACATAGATAATCAAAGAAAATTTCAAACTGTCCTAGAACTATGTTCAAATTCAAACACGACAATTTCCTGCACAAGAAATCGTCTACTAAAATTAAGACCTTCAGTCTTCAAATTGTTTATAGAATTATCAGCATTATAAAAATATTATGCAGAAAATGTGACAGAAACGTCATTATCATTTATATTGGTAGACTTTAAAAACACAAAACCTCTAAATTTTATGTGTGAGACTAATTTCCAAACTTAAATAAGTACATTTTAAAAAGAAATAAGGCTATAGCAAATTTTATAAGTTAAAGTTACTTATTTACTACTAGATTATTTTATCTAATTACAAATACCGTGAATAGTTGCTTCTTTTATTCTAAAACAACATATACCCCTTAAAAAGTGGTTATATTAAAGAACAAAGAATTGTAATATACTTATCTTTCAGTCTCTTCTCATAGGTCGCAACTTAAATGACCAAATTTCTCTTAATATAACAATAAAAAAGAGTACAAAACCCCATCATGTTTCAAATCCAGTGTGATGGGACAGGGATGAGTCAGAGTGTACCTGGAGTAAACTGACTGGTAGGTATAGCACTGCTCACTGGCATCTTCTGTCCGGATTTCTGAATGGTCAATGCTGAGGAATGGGACAAGGCTGTCAACTGTTTTGTAATGCCTCCTGGAGGCTGCTGGACTACCTGAAACAATGAAAACTATCATTATAGTTATTCAACCAAACCTGCTTTAGGAAAGAAAAACATTTCAGTTGTAACAATAGAACAAATAATTATGCTCATCTAACTGTAAATATACCTTCATCTTAGCATAAGAAAGCCTACTTAAAATTTAAATTTGAATGTAGCAAAATCATCTTATTAAAGCAAAAAACATGAGTTCTCACAGTTATTTTTTAGAGTAGAATTTAAATTTGTGTTACGTAGTGCCCGACTTAAACCTCCACATGCATACTATTTTCATTTTTTAACTTATTATGAAAAATTTCAAACATATACAAAAGTAGAGGAAACAATAAAATAAAACTACCTATACCATTATTACCCAGCATCAATAATGATTAGTTCTTGACCAATTTTGTTTCATCTATATTTCCACCTACTTCCTCACTACCTTCAATTATTTTAAAGCAAATCCCAGATATATCTTTTTTACCTATAAATATTTCAAAATATAACTCCAAAAGATAGGACTTTTAATGGGCTATTTTAAAAAGTTATCTGAAAAATGACAATGCTGAAGGCATTCTCCAAAATAACAGTTCAAGAAATCCAGAGGCTGAGTGTTGGGGACGAAGGAAGAGAAATTAAGGTAATGGTGGGGCCTTATTTTTAGCTTCAAAGAAGAAAAAACAAAATAGTAGAACTTCATTTTTTTCACTTCAAAGAAAAACATATTTGAGCCAGCTACTGAGAATGAACTATTTGTAAGTCCTTAAACTCATATGTGGCTAATATAAAAGAGCCAGGAGATAGACTTTTGAATAGAATTTTGAGAGTACAATTTATCTACACTTTAATTTTTTGTAAATAAAATTTAAAATCTGGTGTGTATCACTAAACAAAATTAACTCACAAGAAACTCAGAATGTACAAGTAAATAACCCTGTAAGAAACTAATATCCCTAGAGAAGAAATACAAGTTGTAATAATTCATTTGCCATCACTCTATGAGAACAGACTCGAGGGAAAGAACTCTTAAAAGCCATGATATATTTCAACAAGTTGAGATCATATTTATATACTATTAAGATTTAAATTCTGCAAAATAATAGATACATTCACAGTCTCATTTACGCATTCAGAAAGAAATTCAACAAAACTACTCCTGACAACTCTGGTTTATTTCCTTATTGTTCACATTTTCTTTCTTGATATCTTTTACTAGGTATTCTTTTCAGTATTTTAATTATAAAAGATAGTAATAAAATATTATTAGAAATTTGAGTTAGTCTTAATACCACTTTCGATAGGTACTCAAAAATATAATAGCTTGGAGGCACACTCCTTAGGCGGAGAGGGGGCGGGACTCCACACTCTTGGAACCAGGCACGAGGGGTAGAGGTGTGAGGCAAGAAAGGTGATGCCCACTGGACTTGGTGCTGGTTGTTCCACCCCAGCACAGAATACATTTGGGAGGTTAGCTTCAGTGCCAATAAGCATCCAGGGCTGTTCATAGCTCAGCCCGTCACCCAATCAGGGTCAAAGTTATGCAGGTGTGGGAGGCAAATGTGCCAGTTTAATAAGGGGTGTGTGTGTGTGTGTGTGTGTGTGTGTGGGTGTGTGGGGGGGTAATATTTATACATATCACAAAGTTCTGAGCTGGGATAAACAATCTTGAATCTCCATCACTGATCATCTGAATGACTATTAACACTACCCTATTCATAAATACACAGCACTCAAATACTTATTGCTAAATAACTCAAGTAGTATATGCACTCAAAGTTACTAGAATCAAGGGTAGTATCTCCTTTAATTTCTATATAATATTTGATATGTGATTACTGGCATGCACTTACTAAAGGCTGAGTTCTAGAAAACAGAGGGTTCCAACTAAAAGAAACTGTAGCATAAAAGTGAGGAAATAAAAACATGTTGGTTGCAACCTATTTCTCAGGAACAGCCAATGTGTTCCTTATCTTCAGCACTTCTATATACCCACATCCAGCCTCAGAATATCTCTTAACACAGAGTTCAAGTAAAATCCTGCAGTGGGAGTTGAAATTTATTTGCATGCCCTCAGAATATGCTGTTTCTTTAATTTAAAAGGCCTTCTAAACACTTTTCAAAATTTGCTCAAATGAATTTTTAATTATATTGCCAGCTCTTAAAGGAATTAGTAAATGCTGCTTCAAATCAAGAACCTATAAATTTCTGTTTAAAAAAATTTAAATGTGTTTATTGTATGATTTGATTTATATGAAGTTCTAGAACAAGCAAAACTAATCCGTGGGAGAAAATTATCAGAAGAGCCATTGCTTTGGAAGGAATAGGGGTGGTAGCTGTCTGGGAAGGGATACAGGGAACTTCAAGGTAATGATAATATACTATATCTTGACAGGGGGTTTGAGTTACACACAAGTATTCGCTATTGAAAATTATCCAATGATACATTTAAAATTTATGCATGTCATTATATGTAAATTTTATCTAAAAAAAATAAATATTAAGTTAATGATGCGCATGTTTATTTAGGAAGACGTCTTTGAAATGTATCAAAAAATTAAGATGACTGATGTCTGGATAAAGAAATAATAAATCACGTATACTAACTGTAAACAGTAGAATCTAGGTGGTTGGTATTTGGGTGTTCACTATAAACTTCAACTTTGTTATGTTTGAAAATTTTCATAGTAAAACATTCTCTTGAATAATGCAAAATAAGACACATACGTGATATATATATAAATATTACCTCTAGTTTATTTTCCATAAATTCTAACGTACTAAAAATATACGTATATATTTATGTATATAAAATATATGTATTTTATATATTATCAAACTAAAAATATACATATACTCCTTAAATAAACTAGTATTAACCTATATATTAAGACTATTACATAAAACTCTGATTAAATTACGGCCCGTGAAGAATTTTCTATGCAACTCTTAATTACATATAGCAGATAAAGGGTAGGCCTTATTTGGATTCAACCTCTTTCACCATCAAACATTTCACTAGCCCTATTGAAGTGATTACATCAACAACTGAATTTCACCTCTCCTCCTCACTCTTTACAGAATGCAAAAAAAAGAAAGAAAAAAGATAAACTGCTTAACTCTGGATGCTAGTAGGTCAGGTCAGTCCAATATGAAACTGAGAGTGAACTATTTGAGCCAATAAAACAACGAATGATCTTTGTTTTCTTTCCATACTCAATTTTTATTTCAATTTCTCTAATGAAAATACTGGTTACCTGCATAATCAGAGACTAAAATTTATACTTTAAAAATATTTCTCTTTATCTGGCAAGAAATAAAGACAGAGATAATCAGCAAAGTTAAGTTTCACAGAGCACTTCATATAAAAATGTATTTCCTGAAAATTCTTTAATGGTTCCCCATACTTCAAAATAATTAGGTACGAGAAAAAAATATGATGCAATAAAAATTTTTCTAATATTCTTGGTCAATTTATTTTAGAGTATCAGTTTTACTTCAATATAATGAAATGGAAAATTGTCACATTAATAATGCGCTAATAATTATTTGTTTTTCTTATATCCACAGAACAATAATATTCAGAGAATGATTACTGAATGCACTTGGGCACCACTTATCAAATAAGAAAAAATATCTATGACAATATTAAAACCTCCTGCTGTAATTCCAAGTATAAATTATTCTTAAAGATGTTCAAGTGATATATAAATACAAGATTACTAAGAGTAATAAAATTCAATTTACTCTATAAAACGATCTGCCCTTTTTCCAAAAACAGAGACCAAGAATTTTTAATTAACTTTCTCATTCATGAATTTATTCACACATTATGGATTTGAGAGGCTTGTTGTTTATATTTTATGTGGTAAAATTAGTACTGAAATTTACCAAAATTTAATTTTAAAAATTAGCAGACTGAAATTAAAATTTAGCTTTTCTAAATTAAATTATTTTGCTAATTAAGTTTAAATTTAATTAAGATGACAGTTTTTAATTTAAATTAAATTTAGCTTTTGCTCAATCACAAGTTTTTTCACAAATATCCTAAGGAAAACTTTTAAGCATTGAAACTCCTCAAAGTTTCAACTTATTATTTATCAGACTAGAATTTTATAGACTAGAATCCAATTTCTCCATTTTCCTTCATTAACCTTAAACAAATGTTAAGATCAACATTTAGTCAGAGTAGTAACATCATATAGCAACTACACCAGAATTGATAATCAATAAGATTAACCATTTATAAGAACCAGATTCTTATATGTAATCCATGAACTACTGATTTAGGTCCATATTTCAACAATTCGAGCATTTGGGGACCAAAGTATACAAACACTGAACTACTGTTACAAAATAAAAACACCTGAAGAAACTATTAGCAATTCTAGTTAATTTACTTGATGAAACATTTAGCAGATCCCCAGAGAATAATACATAATAATCAATGAGATAACATGTAGTGATAAATCTAAATTTAAAAAAAAAGGGTAGGCTGTCTCTTTAATTTGGAATAAAAATGTATAACTTCATAAATAATAATTGTACATTAACCTAAACCCTGAAATAGTAGATTGAGAGGATTCTTATAACTTGAAATTGTGGTATTAAATGTCTTAGCCAGAAGGCAGAAAATCTATACAATTCTCCAGAAAAACTAGGACAAGCTAGAAAAAAGTATTAAGAGGAAATTTTTAAATTCATGATCAGTTATCAAAGGAAATAAATTACACAAATTTTAAACCTAACATTGAACAAGGCAGCCATACTTGTATCTTCAGACCATTTTTGGAGACTGCATCTGAGTTGCATGGACCACAGATTTGATCCAGCGTGGCAATTCCCAAATAATTTGCCATAATTCTTTTAAGCTACATTGAATACTTTCTTATGTTTCTAACACCCTGAGTGTTTTCCTCCTCACTCAGTCCTAGGATTACAATGGGCTATGGTTTATAATGGATTCACTGATGATATTCTTAAATTACTCAAGAAACATTAATTTAAATTTGAATAATATTCATTTTCTAAATTAGTTGATTTGAAAGAATGTCCTAGTTCAACCCTCTCTGTGACATTGCCATACAGAAGAGCTTATGTTGTTTTGTGCCCCAGGTAAAAATCTGTTGTAAAACAGATTACAATGCATCTTCAGTGTCTACCTGCTCTGGCTTTTGCCATTTTAAATAGGAAGGTATGAATACTGACATTAAATTTGTTGACTAAAATTGAAACGAAAGCCAAACAAGAAAGCAGAGTTCACAAATAAATTTCTCCACACTCTTTTCAGAATGAATGTACCAAGTTAAAAAAAATCCCTAAAATTTACCATTGGGTTTCTATTACATTTTTTCTTGATTAAAATTGTTTCTAATGTATAACAAGTCAAACCTACAAAACGCAAATGCTGTCAAGATATTATAACTGGACAGCTTTCTGTTTCAGGATACTCCAGAAACCTAGAAGTTCTTGCCATTATCACTATAACCTAATGGGAAACACACTGGGTTCTAGTCCGAGATTCATTACTTGTTTAGTGCCAGTCAGTAGATGAGTTACTTAAAATTTCCAGACTCTTAAGTTTTCTCCCTGCTTTTTTGGTATCACAAAATTATTTTAAAATCTGTAGTACATACATGACATGCTTTTAAAATTCTACGTAGCTATAAAGCATTATTTCACTTCAGGAATCGATATGCTACAGATGTTCAATAAAGATTAAAACTGATTCAAGAATTAGCTATGACCCAGAAAAAGGATTTCACTTCTGTTCAGCGGTACCAAAAAGAGGCCTTTCCTTGGGGCAATTACTCTGTTTCATTGGTTCCCAGACCTGGCTGCTCAGACCAATGTTTAAGAATCATTGCTTCTAAAAATGGTTCATCTCTAAGACTAAATTCAGACACCCAAGAAAAACTCTGCAAAGCAGGTGTATTTCTTCTCCATTTGAAAATCGGACCCAGAGCAAGAAGGAGTGAAAAAAGATAAACACCCAGGAAATGACTATTATCTCCTATCTACCCAAGAGTTTGATGACTGTCCAAATTCATCTTCTTCCTTTCATTCTACACCCAAAGCTGCCCTCTCTCTTTCAAAAACAATCACCCACAGATGCTAGCTACCTCTTCCTCTGACCAAACAAGAATGGGAAGTTTACTCAGATTTTACTCTTCCAAGAAGCAGGATAAACAAAAATAGACTCAAAACAAAGCTTTTAACCTGAAAGCTTAGAGAAGAAAGGCCATCACCAAAGATCAAAACAGCTGGCTCTTTCATAGTATAAGGTAGGGAAGAACTCTACTGAAAAAAACATGATCTTTAATTCACCATGTACTATCTCTCAATACTTTCATAATCTTCTGATAAAACTTGTCTTGTCTTGAATAAAGTAGAATGTTCTAAACACTACTTTCACACAAGAACCTCCCAATCTACCAAATTTAGGAAACACAACTTCTTACTCCTCTACTCCTTTCACTATCACCCTCTCCCCTCAGCACATTTTTTTTTAAAAGAAATGTCACCATAATATCACCTTTGTAAGAAACATGCCAAAAATATTTCATCTGAATCTAATCTTGAGGAAACAATCAGACAAAACAAAATAAAGAACATTCTACAAAATAACCACCCTGGGAACTTAAAATATTACAACATAATGAGCAATCACAGAAGACTAGGGAACTGTTCTATATTAAAGGAGCCTACAGAGAAATGACAAACATAATACGCAATTTCTTATTAGAAACAACATCTGAAAAAAAATAAGCTATAAAGCAGGGGTCCCCACCTCCAGGCCATGAACCATACCCATCTGTGGCCTGTTAGGAACTGGACAGCACAGTAGGAGGTGAGTGGCGGCAAGCCGGTGAAGCTTGATCTTTATTTGCAGACACTCCCCAGTGCTAGCATCACCGCCTCACCTCCACCTCAGATCATCAGGCATTAGATTCTCACAGGAGCACTGGCCCTTGGTTTCAAAAAAGTTCAGGACCACTGCTATAATGGACATTGTTGGGACAACTGGAGAAATACATAGTGTACCAGTATTAACTTCTCACGTGTGATAATAAGTATGTTGTGGTTACATTAAAAAAACATCCTTTTCCTTACGAGATACTCAGTATTTAAGGATGCAATGTCATGATTTCTGCAATCAGCTCTCAAATAGTTCAAGGAAAAAATTATGTGTATGTGTGCATATATGTGAATATAAAGAAAGACAAAACATGTGGTAAAATGTTAATGACTGGTCGCAGTCAAGAGTACACAAGTGATCATTTTACTAGTTTTGCCAATTTTCCGAATGTTTCAAAATTTCAAAATAAGAAATTAAGGAAGAAATAAAATGTTACTCACTAGTTGTTTGACTTTAACTGCCTGTGGAATACCAGCTGGTTGTGAAAGAATGGAGCCCGGCTGTGCGAGTTTGATTTGGACTGGTGCGCCAATGACTGGCTTATCAGATGTCCCAGCTGAAGTAACAACAGGTTTCACAGGTGGAAAACAAATAGCTGCTGCTGAAGTTTCTCCAAAAGTTACTGACGGAAGGGCCAGCGTTACTGCTGCCCCAGAGACAACTGGTTTTTCAGGTTGAAGCGAGACTGCTGTAACTGTATTTTGTACAGATGTCACAAGCGGTTTTGGAGTCTGAAGCAAAACAGTTCCAGCTGTTCCTCCTGGTACAGCAGCTGGACCTACAGAATGAAGTGTCACAACTCCAGTTTTTGCTCCCCCTGGATCAGCAAGCGGATTCAGAGTTTGCACTGACACAGTTCTGGGAGTTGTTGCTCCAGAAACAATGATAGGTTTTTCAGACTGGATTGAGGAAACTGTTGTCACCACAGAAGAAGTTGTTACTGGTGTGGTACAGGTAGCAATGACTACCTCGTTAGAAGTCTGCTGAAGACACTGCTGAATAAAGCTCTGGGAGTTAGGCATGACTTGTCGTAAGGCACTCACACTTTTCTAGAAATAGGGGAGGAAGAAAAAACATTGGTAACTAAACAAATTAGCTACTAGTAAAAAAAAAAAAGTATATCAAGTGTTTCAGTTGCAGAGATCTGATATCACTTACTTATATTCTATCAATATTCAAGATACAATCAACTTAAAGCCCAAAAGTGCTTTATTTTTCAATTTGAAATTATGTCTCAGTATCAACCTTATTTTGTATATCTGAAAATCAATTTGTTAAAATAAAGCACTTTTTCACTTGTTTCTGTTCATCTGAACCCAATAGACCACTAATAACTTCAGTATCTATAAATGTCTATAAAGTTTTTGTTAAGTAACTTTCAAACTTTTGATAGAAATAGGCTTCACGTCAAAGTTAATACAAACAAAGTCAATTTTCTTAATGATCTAGAATATTTTCTGACAGGATTTTAAGTTGGTGCTTATCTTTGTATCCTGGTGAAAGAGTTAAAGATAGTTCAAACTAAACAGTAGAGGGTTCTGCCTTTTCATTGTTGGGATTTGTTTTTGAGTCAAGAAAAAAAAAGATGGAAAAGTAGGTAGATAGTACATTATCTTTTGGCATATTTACGGGCTATTTGAAAGATTTCCTTGTTTTGACACTTAAATTCAGTTAGATCACTTTTATTTAAGAAGCAAATGAGAACTATTGTTCCTCTTTCTTTCCTTTTAGTTACTTCCTTTACTTCTTTTATCAAAAGAGGTTGATAGAATTCTTATAAGAGGTTTTAAAATATAACAAAGGAAAGTAAGAAAGCATCTCATAATCTTTTTTCAAACTCTAAAAATGGTAGCAAATAAGCTGCTTTGGTAATACATGACAAATGAAGTGATTTGATTAATTAAACTTAAGCTAGAAATCTAAGATGAAGGGGTCCTGAGAAAAACACAATTGGAAAGAAATGTTAAAAGTATTAAGATTTTATTAAAGAGACAATAAAAAAAAGTATGTCTATATTAACTCTTGATCACTGGCCAAAGTTAATCAAAAGTTAGTTATCTGAATCAGTTTTCTCATCTCCAAAATGGAAAATACTACCTAGCACCTATTCTCAAAAAACTGATATGAAAATTAAGTGCAAACAAAAGTAAAGTATCTAGCAAAGGAGCTGACACATAGTAGGTGCTTACTAATTTCCCCATGGTGTCTTTAGTGAGTATGAAATAAACTCAAAAGAGCCATCAATGTCAGTGTCATGTTCATGGCTCAGAGAACAACATTTGCACTGAAATGGACCCAAGGAAGAACTGCCTCTAACTTCTCAATCAAGAGGGTCACCCAAAAACAGGGCACTAATCATTTGATGTTAGGTATTATGCTGACCCTTTAACTTTCCCTTTCCCAGACCAAGTCTTCTCTGGCTAAAACATTCTCAAGTTTCTTTAGCCACACTTCATATCATATAACTGGCACCCTCCTAATCAATGTGGTCACCCTGGTGGTGACGATTTCCAATATTTTCATATGTACTGAAAATGGAGTGGTGCCCCAACTCTTTTCCCACTCTTTTTTCATGACACATCCAAAAGAAGTTTTCTACTATGAAGCCCCTTTCATCTCCGCTAGATAATTAAGCCTAATTTTTCTAAAGGCAACTCCGCATTCCATTATTTAAAAATCTATGGTATGTCTTTGGTTCATTATGGTCCCAGGTCTTTAATGTCTTTATAAATTTTAATTAGATTTCTTTTCAGCTTCTGAGTATCTAAATATATATTTAGTCTGCCAAACCAAATTCTTGTTATCAAAATTATTGTTCTCCATCAAAATTCTATTTAGTTCAATAAATCTTAAAGGATATGCCTATCAACAATATAAATTATTTTTTAAAATAACAGCCTTTCCACCAAATTTGGCACTGTGTGGCTTATTATTTCTAAGAGAATATGAGTCATTAGGACAAAGCAGAAAACCTTCTTTTTAAAAACTGTCAAGGTCTTTGCATATACAAGCATTAAAAAGTATAATCAAGTTATATCCATGAATGAGATGTTACTTCTGTTTTCCCAATGTATTCTAATCCAAAGAATATGAACTATCAACAGGATTTACAGATTACAACAATATTGAACGGTTTTTACTACAGTGTTATCTTCACATATAATTGAAATATTCAGGTTTTAAATTACTTTTATCTAATCCAAAGAATTTCTTCAAAGTAACACATAACACTACCTTAAGAAAAGGAACTAGGTGAGGCTGTGGTGAAGACTTGAGTTCAACATACAATTGTCTAGTAAATTCCTCTGCTTCAATTTTTGCATCCTGAGGATGGGAGAAAGAAAAATACTTTTAGGCCTACAAATATTTTAAAAGAGGAATAGTATATAATTCATGATTGTAGACATAACGAGCTTTGCACTTAATAAAGTCCATCATTAAATGGGGGCATTTTTTTCCCATGTCACTTGTGAAATGAATAAGCATAAACAATAGAGATGTTTAAATTCACACAGAATAAATACCGATTTTTTTTTTTTGAAGATCCCAGGAAGCAAAGTAAGAGTAGAGCTGGCAACTTGAATAATGCTATTGTATCACAATCTGTTAAGAACAATTAAAAAATGAAGACACGGGAGTCCTAAATTTCTTAGGGTAGAAAACAGAAAGTTATTTGGTTTGGGGGCCTTCAGTTTTTTTGTTTTGCTTTTAAGAAGATGCTCAACATATTTGTCAAGCATATAATATGCAATGTTTGCTAATTTCCACCTTCATCTGCTTTTTTAGTGTATTTAAGCATTTTATCTGAAAGACAGAAGAAACCAAGGGTGCAGAATTTGGCAGCTCAAAGACACAGCTCCTTGGCACTTAAAAAACCTCAAAGGTCAACACATTTACTTGTTTCATCTCATAGAAAATAAAACTGAGACTTAAGGAAGTTAACTTACATCCACAGGTCCCAAAGTTTGTTGTTTGGACATACAGAAAAATAATAATAATTTATTATTTTTTGACAGTCTGGCTTTCAGGCATTTATACTTCTAGTAACAACTTTTTACCTGGTCAAACAGTCAACCTTCTTTAAGGCCCTTTTTAGGCTAAGAGAAGCATGACTGGCATATAGAAAGTAATATACTATTACTTGCCTAAAATTTATAATCATTACAAAGCTTTCAAGAAGCAAAAGCAGAATTTATCAAAAAAATCTATTTAAAATAAACCTCACTTTAAAATATTTATTTCCCATTTAAAATGTGCTCTATGGATTCTTACAGAGCTTGCAAGATTTATAATATTAACTTACCAAAAGTTGTTCCACCAGCTTCTTGACATTCTGCCCCATTTCTGGGGACTGTGATCCACTACATGCTAGTTTTATTAACATTGCAAGGAAGTTCTTACATTTCTTCACATTTTCTAGCATTGTCTAAATATAGAAGTATAAACAAACACACATTCACAAATGTTAGCTAAAAAATAGAATTTTTTAAAGAAAATTTGTAAAGAGCTGTATTTATGTAAGGTACAGGTGAGAGCTTACCGGAGAAAGATTTGTCTGAGCAGCTGCTGAGTTCTCTGCTTTGAGACTGGGCTCATTTGAGGGGGTGGGTGATACTCCCAAACTTGAAGGCTTCAGGGTAGTTACAGTATTCAACGGCTTTACAGGAGTAACTGTTACAACACTGGTTGGTACAGACTGAAATTAAAAGTAGTATATATTTTAAATATATATTACGATGATAGGTATTATAATGGGTGTCTCATTTCACATTTACCATTACTAAAGCAATGCAACACAGTTATAAAAGCTCTAGGCTCTAGTAAATCTGGGTTTCAGTCTAACCCACCTACCTCTAGTAAATCTGGGTTTCAGTCTAACCCACCTACCTACTTCTCTTTGACACCAACTAAAAGTTGACCTGAGGCAGGTTACTTAATCCTGCTAACTCTCTGATTCCTGTCAATAAAAAACAAGAATAGCAACGGTACCTACTATCCTAGGGTTGTTTGTGAAATACAGTGACAAGCACATAGTCCTCAAAAAATATTAATACTTCTCGAAAATGAATTTCAAATAGTAAGCCTCTATATGAAAATATAGAATTTCTCATAGTTTTCTGCTTTTTCTTAAGTGTAAAGCAGAAAGATTTACTGGTCATCTTATATTCAGATAAGCTGCTTTTATGTAGGCTATAAGAGTAAGCATTATGAATATAAAAGTGATATTTTCACACTGAAAAATATTTCGGTTGCTTCTTCCACCTCTATTGAAATGAGATGTGATTATAGCACCACCTGCAGGATAAAAAGTTTCACACAAGAAATTTCACACTAGTCCGACAGTAATTTTGACAACCATATTGAGATAAAGCAACAATCTTAACGGCAGACACTAAAAGTTACAGAACATGAGTAAAGTTTGGGGGTGGGAGAGAGAATAGTATTTCCAATTTACGCAGAAAACTGAACATTACACCATCACTTAATTTAAATGCTTGTGTTCTACAGGCATACAGCACAAAAAAGGTCAGGTTGCTATCATCTTCAAGAAAATTTCCTTCTGTAATAGTCAAGATAGGTGAATTTGAATATACATCCAAATTTTCCACTTTAGAAAGACTGAAGCAAATATTAGACAAGAATGTTTTGAAGGTAATAATGGGAAAGAAATTAAAAACACTGAGTACTGATGAAGACCAGAACTAATGATAAAATGTTAAGCCAAAAAAAGGTAAAATAAAACATTGCACCTAACGGGGGAAGATGGCAGACTAGGTAAAAGCAGGGTTCACCTCCTCTCAGGTCCGCATTGAAATAACAACCAAATTATAAAATAAGCAACGTGGAGAATCACCTGAAGTCCAGCTGATCATAACACGTATGTCTGATAATATAAAGAAGGAACCACATCAAAGCTGGTAGGAGGGGCAAAGTCACGAATGGGCTGAACCCATATCCATGGATTGTGGAGAATCATGAGGAGGGAGAGTGAGACTGCAGAGGCTACCCTGAAGGCGGAGGGTGGGTCCTGGCCTCATTTGGAGGCTCCCTAGCCCAAGGTCCCAGGCCAGGGAAAAGGAGTTTCCAAAAACTCTGACTGTAAAAATCAGAGGAGATTCTAGTTGTCTGGGTGAGACAAAAGGACACTGAAATCCTTGACACCCCTTTGAAGGGCCCACGCACAGGCTCTCTCACCTGTGGACGTTCACCCAGGGCACCAGTGGTGGGTCAGAGTGTCATGCAAGATTCACAGGGGAAAATTCTGCATTATCTGGCACCAAAACAAGGGCTAGATGGGCATCTGTCATTGTGCCTTAGCTGGGTCCCCCTATGGGGCAATCTACAGACCTTGCCAGCTAAACTGTACAGATCCCTCCCACAGGGCCATCAGGAAGCACTGGCCTGAGGAGATCAGCTCACCTCACCCAAACTGCAGATTGCCCAGGGTTTCTGTTGCTGAATGGCTGCCCTGCCCGGTAAAATTCAGGGCTAAAATTCACAGCTGGCAGCCAATGCTATGAGCACATTTCGGAGACAGTTTCAGGCAGATCACTGCTGCCAACATGAACTTGGGCAGAACTCAGGGATCTGTGGGTCAGTCCCAGACAGCAGCTGGTCTTGCTGTGATCTGGGACTTTTGTGGGAATGCACAAATAGTTATTGATGTTGCAGCAAGACTGAGGCTGTATTGATCTGACAGCCACTGTCTCCCTGAGATCCCCCTTCACCTAAGCCACAGAGTGCCTGCAGCCCATTGACAGACAGCATCCCACCCTGATTTTCTCTGGGTTTGCGCATTCTGCACAGTAAGTGCATTTCAGGTAAAACAGTTGTGAGCAGACTACTGCTGCCTGTACAAGCTGCAATATCTCTTGAGGGGATCACAGGGATCTGCAGGACTGTCCCAGACAGCAGCTTGTCTGTGATCTGTGAATACTGTGGGAATGTGCAGACACAGAAATTGCAGAAAACTGAGGCTACTGGCCTGATGGCCCTTGACTCCCTGAGATCCTGCCTCAACCAATACACAAAGTGTGCACAGCACTTTGATAGATAGCTGCTCCTGACCTGCACATTCTGCGCAGTCAACAAATCTCAGCCAGCGTGAGAGCAAAGTTCATGGAAAACACTGACTGGAAGATCACTGCTGCCAGCACAAGATACAATATTGCTTGGGCAAATCTCAGGGCTTTTGGGGCCCATTGCAGACTACAGTAGGTCGCGCAGTGATATCCGACTTTGGTGGGAGCCTGTAGCAGCAAATATGATGCTGTATAGGCCTGATGGCTTAGTGCCTCACTGAGATAATGCTCCACCTAACCCACAAATTACCTGTGGTAAGCCTGCTCCCAGACAACCCAGTCCCATCCTGTGCTTTCCTTGGGTCACGAATTCAACAGCAAGCAAAAGCACTCAGTGCATGTGGCCTACACAAAGCCCGTTTATCCGGGAGAAACATTTGGTGGTGGGCCACAAACTCACGCCCACAAGCTTCAGTAATTCTTAAACAGAGCTTGGGTGTTTGCAGGCCCGAGGTGGGCAGCAGCTGACTTTGCTACGATTGGAAACTTGTTTGAGGAGCTACAAAGACAGCGCTGGCATGTAAACTGACACTGCAGTGGCAGGGGGAAATTTGCTCAATAAATCCTGGAGACTCCTAGGGTCCCTGCACCACCCAACACACACATCACCCAGAGGCTCTTCCAGTTTCAGAGACTTATGGGCAACTGACAGGCAGTGTCAGGCCGTGAGGAGCACTGGTCTCTCTGCTAAACTGCCATAGGTCAGGGACAGGGGATAACTGGACCATTGCCTATAGCGCTGTCTCCTCCACTTACCTATAGATCCAGCATAGGCAACAACCATCTGCAGATCGCTTTGTAGCTCCCACCGGGTAGGGCTGAGCAATCAAAGGCAGAGGCTGACCTTGTCCTACTGGGGAGTCCCTCCCAAGGGGCCACAAAACCAATGCACCTGAAGGCTGGCATTAGACCACAACAGAACAACTTCTGACTAGTCCCATAAGCAGTACACACAAAGAGTGTTTGCAACAAGTACATAAGCCTGCTAGGGCAAATCCCACTCAGTGGGGTCAGTCCCTACACAGTAACTCCTACCCTGTGGGCACAGCCAATTCCCACAGTCAGCCTGGGTGTTAATCCCATCCACTGATCTATTAACACCAATAAAGACTTAGTGACAACAAGATCACACACAACCTGCCCAAAGATCACGTCCAGAGCCATCGGCATAGGGGATCAGGGAGAGGAGTGCGCCACTGGGCCACACAGGACACCTTCCACATTAGGCTGAGACGAAACAAATATTCCTGACACAGAAACGAACATAAGGCTAATAAAATGAGAAAATAAAGAAACATGCCATAAATGAAACAACAGGGAAAAACTCCAGAAAATAAGCTAAATGAAATGGAGGCAAGCAACCTACCAGAGACAGAGTTCAAAATAATGGTTATAAGGGTTCTCAATGAACTTAGGGAGAGAATGGATGAGCTCAATGAGAACCTCTACAGAGAGACAGCAAGCATAAAAAAGGACACAGAAACCATAAAAAAGAACCAGACAGAAATGAAGAATACAATAACGGAAATGAAGAATACACTAGAAAGATTCAACGGCAGACTGGATGAAGCAGAAGATCGAATCAGTGAACTGTAAGACAAGGTAGCAGAATACACCCAATCAGAACAACAAAAGGAAAAAAGAATTTTAAAAAATGAGGACAGCTTAAGAGACCTTTGGGACAACATGTGTAACAATATACAGATCATAGGAATACTTGAAGGAGAAAAGAGAGCAAGAGATTGAGAATCTATTTGAAGAAATAATGACAGAAAACTTCCCTAACCTGGCAAAGGAACTGGACATACAAGTTCAGGAAGCACAAAGAGTCCCAAAGAAGAGGAATTCAAACAGACCCACACCAAGAGACATCTTAATTAAAATGCCAAAGGTCAGAGACAGAGAAAATCTTAAAAGCAGCAAGAGAAAGCCAGCTAGTTACTTACAAGGGTACCCCCATAAGCATGTCTGCTGAATTTTCAATGGAAACTGCAGGCCAATGTACTGTATACTTGAAACTAATAAAATAAAACTTAAAAAAATAATAAATAAATAAATAAATAAATAAATAAATAAATAAATAAATAAATAAAAACTACATCTAAATTAGTACAATTTTATTACGTATGAACAGGTCTCAAAGGCAACAATGAAAATGATGTCTCTCTGCTCCTATTCCCATCCTTGACCCTGCTCTCAAAGGACAACTACTGTGCAGTTTCCTCTGAATCTTTTTGGATATTTTCTAATGAACTTTTAGGTTTATGTACAGTAATTAAATACTCTTTCTTCAGTGAGTCTATTTTATATTCAGTCATTTACTCTTTGTGCTACTATTTTAAGAAAGAGTAATCTCCAACTTTAGCTGATACAATTACCTTTCAGTACTGGTGGAAGGGGTCCCTCGGGGTGGGGGGGATTTGTCCCTCTCCCTTATGAAGAAAAATAAAGCCTAATGAAATGTGAGTTCAGGAAAAGTTCCCTAGTTTTGTTGAGTAGATAGAGCACTTAAGAAATAATCTGTGAAAAAGTTATACAGAGCCAGTAAAATGAATTGTATGCAGTTTTAACAGACTAAACTGCATTTAAAGGAGGGTCATTTTCTATACCAGTCTGAAACAGCAATCAACTTTGAGATTATTCATATGTAATTAGAAACACTAATTCTAAATGCAATCAACCATTTGCACATTATATTCTAATCTAAAAACAGGCCAACCTACTCTTCATCATCAAGTACAACATAAAGCTGAACAAAGATTTCAAACTAATTCCTGTTATATTTACTAGACCGGACCATGTTTCAAGCCATTTAAAATAAATATCAATACCTATTAAAAGGAAAATACTTTCAAAATTTCTTCACATACACATTTGCCTTTATAGTCAGAGTTCTATCTTCTCTCATTTCCAAGTTCTATCTCCTTATTTCCAAGAAATGTCCAAAATTAAGATGCTATACTCTTCAAAGTAGACAAAGATATTATTCATTAACTTCATTGTTTGATAATTTCTACTGCTTTAGCGTACTACTGAGTAGTAGCTCAGCTTAAAATATGCATTGATCTAAATTAGGAAAAGTTATAAACAATCCACTTGGAAATATCAACATTTATATCTATGTCTGTCTGTCTGTCTGTCTGTCTGTCTGTCTATCTATCTATCTATAAATCAAGGAAAAGAACTAACAATCCAGATATATGATTTTAGAACAATTATAAGTTATAAATCTTTGAGAAACTGATCCAATGAAAAAAGTGGTGAAGTGATGAAACCTTTCCATAAAATAATTGTATTATAAATTCTTAAAACTTCCTATTTTCCTAATGCCTCGACATCTCCACAATAAAGACCTGAGCACTCTATCCAGGAGACCCTGCTACAAGTTCCCCTTCTTGCCCTCCCCTATGACCTAGTAACATTCAAACACACAAATAAAATCCCTTTGCACCTTTTCCTTGTGTACTCCATACCAGCCCCTGATAAAGACACTTTCCTCTGGGTCCTCATTCTCTCTCAGCTCTCCACCTGTTTGGCTGTGCCTGCTCCCTGGGTGCTCCCCTCATGCGTCCCCCTGTACGGGGCACACCATACTTCCCTCTTCTAGGATCTGTGCATATAATAAATCTTTCACTTTCATACGCCTCTCCATGGTATTATTCTGCATCTAATTCTGACTAATCTTCAAAAACTCCATTTTAAAGAACATAATTGTTTCTTACAACACAATAGTAAGTATCAGTAGGCCTAAGTTCATAACTTTTAGCCCAATAATCACCTTAGAATTTATCCCAAAGGAAAAAAAAAACTAGAGTTTGAGACCATCAGTTCAGAGATCAAGAACAGTTTCCAGAATCAGGGACCTCAGCTCAAATCCTTCTTCATTGCGTATTAGCAGAAATCATGCAAGTTTCTTAACCTCTGTAAACTATTTTCACATATACATAATAGAGATAATACTCCCATATATAGAGTAGTCACAAGGATGAAATAAGAAGATAGATGTAGAGCACCTAAAATGTGTCAAGCACATTAAACGCTCAATAAATGGTAGCCATTACAAGAGGGGGGAAAAAAAACCCATGTTTAAAATCAGGCTAACTGCTCACTGTCTCTATTAGAGGAAAAGAATGGGAGCAGTATGGTTAAAAAAATTTTAGAAAACCGACAGAGAGTTTGCGCTAGAGCATGGGATTTCATATAGCATGCTCCAAGAATATATATTCTCTGTACATCAAAGGAAGTATGACAGTGGTCCCAAGATCATGGGATCCACTGACTTATCATATACAGCATGGCCCAGAAACTATTAGCCTACTAAAGTATTAGAACAACCTGCAGAAGGCACAGTAATACTCTGTGAAGACGGAGTTCCATCCTCCATCTTTCAAGACTCAGTGTACTTACTAAATTAAAAATTTCTACATGGCACTATCTCCCCAACAGGTCAAATACATGAGGAATCAAGGAGCAACAGGATGAATGAAGCCATCTACCATAACTCCCAAAGACTCATTGGGGTACTTTGTGCCTCCCATTTCCACTCACAGGGGTCCTACTTTTACCAAAGGACATAGCAAGAGTCCCTATAAACTAGACTCTATGGCTGCCTCCTGGGCACTTCAGATTCTTTGTGTCCAGGGACCAGGAGGAAAGAGAAGAGTCATTATCATGACAAGGGTAACTGACCTGACATCTGGAATACTTAGGATTGCTATCACACAATAGAGGCCAAGGGGAATATGTGCAGTGAATCCGGGTGATAACTTAAGTGCTTCTTGGTATTTCCTTGTCCATTTGTGATGATAAATGGACAAGTGCAGCAACTCTGGCCTAAAAGAGCATGTGATTAGGACCTCATATCATGGATGAAGGTCTGATCATGTTACCAGTTAAGCTACCATGACTAGCACAGTTAGTAGTTGAGGGTGAGGGGAGAATGGATAATGGAGGAGGGAGATGCTGGTATCGGTTCCAACAGAGAGGACTGTAGTTCATCCCACTAACTTCCTGTCCCCAGTTTCCCCAAGGAAGTAACCCGCTGGAATCTCAAAAGAGCTGTTCAAAATGAATGAGAAAGTAGATCTCAGTAATGCAAGGAGCATACTGTAATACATCATCACAGAAAATATTTGTGTGGCCCTAGCTGTTAGGAATGCCATCAGATAGCCTACAGTTGCCAGTTTCTTCAGGTTTGGTCTCAGCTACAGAGAATTATCTTGCCCCAAAGTATAACTCTCTCTCTGGAGAATCCACATCCAATGACTGATCACAAAGGTGAAATTAAGGCCAGCTAATCATGTTGGCATACACAGTGAGATGACTCTGAGAAGCCATCTTTGCTCCAAAGTTCTCCACTAGACTGGCTGAGGCTTTACTGGGACTGCATCTAATTCAAACTTTTACTTAATTCTCCCTCCCTTCCACAGGCATAAATCCCTAATAAATATCCCATCAAAATGCCATTCCAGCACCTGCTTCTAGACACTTTGACACATGGCTATTTGATGCATTTGTATTAATTTAACACATTCAAATAAAACTGGTATTCTAAGAATATACACTATGTTTATCTTGTGTTTCCCAATCCTCCAACAGTTCCAGTTTGGTAAGTAACATATATCATTGAACTGCTCTCTTCAATGTGATAAAGTCAGCAACTTATATATCTGGCAGGAAACAGATAAATAATAAAGAAAGATGAGAGAATAACCAGTGCACACGTGGCCACGAGTCACAACTTACTTGTACTGAGGAAGGCTTCGGAACAGTGGTTACCACAGTAGTTCCTATTTGTGTCAATTTTTTAACAGGTGCCACTGCCACTTTCTTGATTAATTGTGAATTAGAATTCTGGGAGGATAGGTGCATAATACAAAGTCATCAGCATTAGTAATTTAAAACCAATCAGTACTGTGGCAAACATTAAAATATCATAGCAAACTTCTCTGTTATAACAGGCTTTATAACCTTACGGATTTTATGCACATTATCTACTATGAACCTAACTAGTCAAGTGACCAGTTGAAACTCACTTCAAATGCCTAAGGAAGCAACTGGTTTAACAAAAAAATATTACAGGATAAGCCTGACTCATCAAGAAAATGCTATACTATATTCAGGATTTTCTGTTTAACCAAAGAAAGATGCCCATAAAATTTTTTTTTTAAACTCTGGCACACAAGGTAAGCTTCAGGTACCTAGAAAGATGATCATGTATATAAAATAAATCATTTCTTAACAATGCCAAGTTAATGTAATAGTACAACAGAGTTCTAAATTACTTAAAGGTAATTCCTTTAAGAAATGAATAAAAATGAATACTGTAAACTATAGTCTTAATATTTGCCACAAATTAAAATTGAAGCAGAATGGTTTTCTTGACATTTTGAGAAGCAAACAGCTCTTGAAAATCTTTTGAGTATGAAGGACTATGAAATCTTGATTAAATTAACATATTCAAATAAAGTAGCTTAATTCAGGAAGTTGAGCAGAATCATCCCTTTGATTATTTTTACTGGTGAATACATACACATTTATAAGATAATAGCTGGAAAACAGAAGAAGATGAAAAAACTTTAAGATATATTACCGGCATCGTACAGATTTTGACTGTTTGAGTATTCGTTTGTACGGCTGGCCTTGAAGTTATGTTACTTGTGGTCTCGCCTCTTGTTACAGCTTGCTGAGGAGATACCAACATCAACTGACCACTGTTACTTTTGATCAAAACTGTTCCTATAGTTAAAAGAAAAAAAAGTCACCTCAGCTAATAAATGAAGCATAATCACAATATATTACTTCTCCCATTTCTATGAATACTGTAAATGGTCTGAATAAGTGATTACTACATACTGAATTCCATGTCTACTAATTATCATATACAATATGAAAAGTGTTTTTACTCAAAGCTACTTAAAATATTAAAAGTCCAGGCGTGTGGCTGAGATACTCCTGAAAGAGACAAAATATTTTTCCTTCATGGCATTAAACTATTTATAAAGCTACAGTAAGAAAGATGGTATATGGTAAGGACACAAGACTACACAAACTAACGAACGGAACAAGTAGCACTGCAGATCAATGAGGAAAAGAGACTATTCAATAGTGCTGAGTCAATGAGTTACGTACATGGAAAAGATCAAAAGATTCATATCATACCCAAAAACTATTAGGGATACAAGAGTAAAAAGTAAAACTGTTTAAACTCTTAGACAATGTAGAAAATTAGCTTTCTAAACTTGGGATCAGGAAGAATTCATCAAATATGCAATATGTGATTCACTGGACTAGATCAAAAGAACTTTTGGTTAGCAAAAGACAGCACCAGGTAAAAAGACAAACCACAAAATGGAAGAAAGCTGTAGTTCATAGATATTCAAAGGGTAAATACACAAAATGCACAAAAGAAATACAGATGCTAATGACAGGAAAAGGTGAATTAAAACCACAGTGAGGTATCATTTTATATCTACCGAATAGGTAAAAATTAAGAAGTCTAATGACAATACAGTGTTACAGAGCTGTGCAGCAACAGGGACCCTAACATTGTGATGGTGGTAGTATAATCTGGTACAACTGCTTTGCACAACTTTATATGATCGTTCCAGTTGTGCCAGTTGCATATCCTCTAACCCAGTATATCTAAATCTGAAGACATTCTTGTTCATGTTAGTAGGAGGCACAAGCAAGAATATTCAGAGCTGGAACTCTACTTCAAGAATGGCTGCATGAAGAATTCAACAAACCCGTTCCCTAGCAAAACAAGCATAACAGTAAAAAATTTTAAAAACCATCATTTAAAGTCTTTGAAAATTGCCCCCAAGGCATACAGAAAATGGCTACACAATTATTAAAGAAAATCTACTAAAACTCAGTAAGAACAATAAGAATCAGTGGCATCTGAACCAAAACCCACACCCTCCCTCTCCCTTCCCAGTTCTAAATCTACCCCAGGCAGTGTGGCCACTGCAAGGCTTCTCTTCTCTCCCAAGCTCCCAGTAGAGGGCTATGATATCTTTCTGGAAGGAGCAGGCCACCAGCTTTTCTTATCTCTCCTACCATGAGCTAGGCAAATTAGAGACAAATTAGAGACAAGTACATCCAAGAGGTTTCAGTTTCAGGCTTCTTTCACCAATTCTCACTCACAAATGGAAGACTCTACCTTAGGGATGACACATTGAGAATCCTTGGGTCCCAACTACCCTCACCCCAATTCTTTCTTGGGTGGAGTTACCAGGCTGGGGGAGGTAAGCAAAGACCAGAGGCTACCACCCATGCCTAGTACTCACTCCTAAAGCAGAGATATCGCACAAAAGAGAAAAGCATGCCAAAATCCTGGAACCTGCTCTGAGTATTTCCCTAGAGGAACTCTTTATTTCAAAGTGTTTGGGAAGCTTAAGGCTTAGGACATTCTCAAATACAGTGGAACTATTAAAAGAAGGCTGATAGCTTCATGACACATACAAGCTAAGACAGATACTAGCTCTAGTTTACCAGAAAGAACCAGAGGGACAATTTAGAAGGGCCCCCCTGGGAGCTGAACAAACCCCAAACAATGACCTTAAAAACTACCCCTGTAAAGAAGCCCAAATTTAATTAAATGAGACTATGGAGCAAGCTAGGCCCTAGGGTACTGTTGAAACAATAGAGTAATGGCTGTCAATGAGTGGAGACCAAAAGCTGAGTGTGATAACAGCACAGGTAAAGAAAGAGCTTAACAGAGATCACAGAAAGAGAAGTCAAAGAGAGCCCTGCTAAACCCACTATCATCCCAGGGTGGCTGTACTCATGCCCTAAGACTGTGTGCTCTAAAGAGAAGCAACATCAGAGGCTTCTCATTGCTGAAAAAATAGACTTCACAAAAAAAATTCAGCCAAGCATTAAAAAAAATAAAACAAGCAAACAACAGTAACACATCAAGGGAGTAGGGTCCAGTATCTAGAATTGCTTTTTGTTATTTGTTTTTTTTGAACAACAAATAAGATATGCAAAGAAAAAAGAATGAGACACAGGAAAAGAGGCAGGAAACAGAATCCACCCAGGATAGGGCTTAGATTTCAGATTTAACACGGACTTCAAAGTAACATTATAAATATGTTCAAAAACCTAATGAAGACTATGATTAAAGTAGTAAAGAAAGGTATGATGATATCGATATCTCATCAAAAAATAAAAAATATCACTAGATGGATATATTATAAAAATTCTGTAGTTAAAAAGCATAATAACTAAAAAAAAAAAATCACTAGTGAGCCTGGACTTGAAAGGACAAGAGAAAGATCAGTGAGCTTAAAAACAGGTCAATAGAGATTATACAATCCACAGTACCGAGAGAAAAAGAAGAAAAAAAAGAAACGTGGGACACTGATAAACACCAAGATAGGTATAATGGGAGTACCAGAAAGAGAGACACAAAGAAGCAGAAAAATATTCAAAGAAATAATGACTGAAAACTCCCCAAATTTGATTAAGAATAATCTAGACATCCAAATAGCTCTACAAACTCTAAGCAAGATTAATTCAAAGAGATCCACACCAAGACACAGCAAAGTAAAAATATTCAAAGACAGAAAAGCTTGAGAGCAGCAAGCAAAATATGACTCATTATGTAGAGAACTCCGACAGGATCAATAGCTGACTTCTCATCAGGAACAATGAAAGCAAGAAGGCAGTGGAATGACATATTCCAATTACTGAAAGAAAAAATGTTAATGAATAATCAGATATCCACCAAACATGTCTTTTAAAACTGAAAGTTTAATTAATTGATAGAGAGAGAGATTGATAGATAAAGGTAAAGTACATTCCTAGATAAAAACAGAGAGGATTGGTTGCTAGCAGGCATGCCACACATGAAATATTAAATGAAGTTCTTCAGGCTGAAAAAAAATGACTCCAGGCAGTAATTTCAATTCACATGAAAAAAGAAAGGGCACTAGTAAAGGTTACTATGTAATTTGATAGTATAAATGCATATAACTTCTGCTTTCTTCTCTTCATAGTTTTTTAAAAAAACTGTATAACACAATATATATATAATTGTATTGTTGGATCTATAACATGTAGAAATGTCATATATTTGTGAATGATAGCACAAAGAAAGCGGGTGAGAGTAAAGTTGCACTGCATTATAGAAATGACTTCAGATGGTAACTCAAATCTACAGGAATGAATGAAGAAAATCAGAAATGATAAATAAGAGGGTAATAAAAAAATGCTACAAATACATCCTTGTTCTTCTTTCTTAGATCACCCTCTTTAAAAGACATAAAATTACATAAATAATTATAATAATGTACTGTTGGGTTAGTAACATACCTAAATGCAATCTGTAGAGCAATAGCAGCAGAAAATAAAGATGAGGGAAACAGGCTAAATAGGAGAAATGTTTCTATATCTCACTGAAATAAGTTAATATAAATGTGAAGTAGATTCCACTAAGATGTGTATTGTAAGCCCTAGAGCAACCATTAATACATGCATACATATACATATATATACATATAAAGGAATTAAAATGTAATACTAGAAATAGTCACTTAATGAAAAGGAAAGCAGAAGAAGAAAGGGGGGGGAGGAGAGAAAATGTATAAAAACAAAAATAAATGGCAGACCTATATCCAATATATCAATAACATTAAAAGTTGAATGGATTAGAAGGAACTGGGCAAAATGGTGTAGGTGATAGAAGCTTCGTTCATTTCCTCTTGCGACCACATCAAATTTGAGATGAAAACACGGAACAAACAGCAAGGAAAGTCATGTGGGGGTCTAGAGGAACAGAAGCCTTATAACTAGGGAGAGAAATAAGAAATCAGCCTGCAACAGTTGGAGGTAGGAGGGGGCAAAGATGCGAGGCTACTCGGTCCCCAGTGGCAGAATGGGACAGAGGCTGCGGCAGCCTGCACAGCTGCAGATGCCTCTTAAAGGGACCCTGTCTGCAACCCCGGTTTCGTGAGGACAGACCTGCTCTCTCTGAGCACCAGAGCCCGATTGGCTGCTCAGGGGTCTTACAGGGGTCCGAGTGAGGGCCAGAGGTGAGGTTTTCTCCCAGGCGGAAGTGCTGGCGGTATCCACTGTTCCTCTAGTGAGCTCTCTCCCTTTCCAGTGTGTGGACACTGAGCTGCCATAGCTGAGACTTCATCAAATTGGATAACAGCTCCAGAGGATTACTGAAACTCCACCTCCCCCAACTCACTGCCCCATCCATGCCACATCCAGTTGTGTCCTCAGCAAGTCCTGTACCACTTGCTGAGCAGCACCAAGACTCACAGTGATGGCAGCTGACCTTGGTTTCCGGCGTGGCCTCTTGAGGCAACTATAAGCACAGCATCTGTGGATTGCTTGCTGAATCTTAACAGGTGGCCCCAGAGGGGCACAGGCTGGGGATAAACTTGGTCTGTAGCTGAACCCCTCTCAGGACTGTGCTGCTGGACACCTACTACACAAAGCCACACTATTAAGATCAGAAGACTTAGATTTGATTGGCAGACAGAAACAGACACAGAAAGGCAGCCAAAATGGGAAGACAAAGAAGCAGAAACCATATGAAAGAACAGAACATGGATCAAAGAAAAATGGAGTCAAGCAATCTCACAGATGCAGAGTTCGAAACACTGGTTGTAAAGATGCTCAATCAAATTAAGAGAAATGTAGATGAACTCAGTGAGAACTTTAACAAAGAGATAAAAAACATAAAAATGATAATTATAAAAGGGAACCAGTCAGAAATGAAG